GCCTATCTTATTTAGACTGACCTGCGGAGATAATAACATGCACAAAAACAAGACAGAACAAAATCAAGCAAAAACACGTTTGCATGTCAGGTCAATGTGCTCTCATTTACCAGTTTAATCAACTTATCAAACTCTCCAATGGCTTGCTCTGTCTGCCCACCCCTTTTCCATGTACCACTTAGAAGATATTATCTTCGGCTTCACCAAAATAAACCCTTCTCTACCCTCTAGCCGTTTGCTTCCGCTCTCTATCTTGATTCATTTTCTTTAATGAAAATTTCTGATCCTTTTAAAATAACCGTCATCTCATACAATATTTCTCCATTTGTTTTCATCTAACTATACACATCATATGGTCCTCTGAGCACACCCATGACATAAGGTGCTTCACACTTTCATCGTTATTCTTTAACTATGTAGTATTCCATTGTGTACTTGTCCTAAGGTTTATTTATCCTTTCCTTCACTGATGGGTACTTAGGTCGTTTCCATTTTCTTCCTTTTCTGAATCGTGTGCTAGAACAATCAATGTCTGGGGACTAATAAGCTCAGTCACTTGTGTCATACTATGGTGAGAGAACCCTAAATGCCCATTCCCAATATTGGCATTCACTTTGATAATGTTTCTTGGTGCACACACCTCTCTGTTGTCTTGTGCCAGCTGGTTCAGTGTCCAACAGACATTGTATCTATGGACTCATGATTATTTCCCGGGAGGCAAGAGGTTGGAGCAGGGAGGCACAAGCGGCCCCGCTGAGAGCCGGGAGTCACCAATACCAACCACTATGACGTCATCCACTTATCAGCTTTGCTCTTGAACAAGTCATTTACCGTCTCCAGCTTGCACTCTTCTCCACTTGAGAGGTGACAGAGACAAGTGAATGGATGGTTCCTAATGACTTATGGTGAAGGACCGTGCTGCAAAGCTAACGAATGGTCTGGAAACTTGATGAACAGACAATACCACTAACACAGGAACACATAGGAATTCAAGGCTATCTATGGCTCAATCTCGCAGATCACTGGGATGAAAGGACTCGATGTCTGTTCTGATTG